GCCGGAGCAAGAAGCGACCGGGGCGGTAGCGGCGGCGGCCGCGGCAGGGGCAGGGGCAGCCAGCGTGGCGAGGGCGGCGGGCGTTTTCGGGAGCCGGGCGTCCGAGCTGGAGCTGGAAAAGGCGCTGGCGGCCTCGGGGGGCACCTTGCCTCGAGCCAGGAGGGTGAGTGGCTGCGACCGGGACCGGGACCGAGGGCAAGTGCAGGCGCGGCAATCCTGGCCCTCCTCGCCTTGCCCGGCATCGTTCTTCCCTGCCCGGGGCGTCCCCCCCCCATCGCTCGAGACCCTTCAGCAAATGCCTTTTCTCCCGGCGCACGCGGTTCTCTCTCTCTCTTTCTACCACCCCCCCGCCGCCGCCGTGCGCTGCCGGGGTGTCTCTCCCTCTCTCCCCCCCGTCCCCGTCCCCGTCCCTCGTGCTCTCCACCCCCAGGCATCGATGCATGAGACCCCGCCGGGGCTTTCCCGCGCCCCACGGGCGTAAGGAGGGGGATCCGGGTGGGGGGCACGTTGGCGCTCCGTGCCTCTCTACGCCTGTCCCCCCGGCAGGGTTCTCAGCTCCCCTTCCCCCCCCCCGTGTCCCTTTCTCTTTTCTCTTCCCCCCCCCGGTCCCTCGCTCCCCTTCCCTTCCCCTTCCTCACGGCCACCCTCGTCCCACCGGGCGTGCCGGAGAGGTGAGTTTCGCCTGAGCATCCCTCTCGGCACCGCCGATGGGCGCCATCAGAGCTGGATCGGGCGGTAGGTAGGTAGGTAGGTGGTGATGGTGTGTCTTCAGGTCGTGGTGGGGGAATGGAGCGGGGGTGGAGGAGAAGAGAGGGGTCGTGGGGCAGGTGAGAGTGTCGTGGCACCAGCCCATGCCTGCGCCGCCCGTCCCGCTCGATCTTTCTCCACCCAGAACCGTCCGCTTTACCGAGCCGGGAAGGTAAGGATGATGGAGGGGCAGTTAATTGTCAAGCGTGCCTCTGGCGTTGGACTTGCTGGCTTTCTTCTCCTGACTTCTCTCTTTGTGAGGAGCGGTGTCTGTCTCTTTGGATAGGCAAAGACTGCCGGATAGAATTTACGGCGACAGGTAGAGACGATGGGAGTTGTAGTCCCGGCACATCAGAAAGGCATCGGGCTGTGGGGTGCCTGGTATGCGTTAGTGTGGGGCTGGGCGTTGTTGCTGTTCTGAAGTGCACCTTCTCCAGTTGTATCGATTGCTCTCCAGACACGTTCTTCTTGCCGGTGGAGGTTGGAAGTAGAAGTCCGTGGGTGAGGAGTCCCAACTGTTGCAGTTGGTGGCTCTGAGAAGACCAGATGCTAACTTTAGAAGCAGAGGCTGGCCTTGGGAGCTGCTGGTGTAGCAGTTATTCATAGGGCCTCTGGCAGTTTCCCCAGGAGACAGCAGGAGAGAAGGAACCTTTTTGTGCAGTTTTACTCTCTCTCTCTCTTTCTGTGTAAATGTATAAGGGCCACTTTACAGGTACCTTGTTTTCTGTTTGCAACAGATATGGCCCAGTCTTTGACCTGTTTCTCCCAAGCCAAAGTTCTGCATCATCTTTGCCTTCGTTCTGGAAAATTCAAAAGTTCATCTTATTTGTAACTTTTAAGAGATCCAAATATTGTATTGCCAAAACTCAAGCTTTGTGATTTAAATCTATTGTGACCTGGGATACAGCCAAAACAACTCTGCAGGTCACTTCTTTAAGGTGCAATTTAATGTAACTTGAACACTAAAGCCTTGGTGGGAATGGCCATTTATTTTTAAATGGCTTTCAGGTCTCACAGGCAGCATTCAGGTTTTCACAAGGGGTTCAACAGGCTGTTCTGGTGAGAGGCACGAAGAGAGTACAGAATCTCCATCTGACACAAGAGTTTACAGATGCTCCGCATCATTAAGGCTGCTGTGTTGTTCCATTTTCTGTGGGATTTACTGTAAAGTAAGCATAGATAGGATTGACATAGATAGGGTTTTAGCGTAAGACTGTGGGTTAAAATGGTCGGTGCTGTGCTGCATAGATAGGGTTTTAGCGTAAGACACAGAACTGTGGGTTAAAATGGTCGGTGCTGTGCTTGCATGCCCTGTTGTGGGAAAAGTACAATACAGTGAAGGTTGGCTGGATAGCTTAACGAGTCATGTATAATAGAGTGAATAAATAAATGTTCACCAGATTCTCCCCTTAATGTGCTGCGGTTCCTGTACTGGTTCTGGAGGATTTGCAAAGTGTGTCTTGAGGTCACGTGTGACCCTTCCCAAGACTGTTTTTGGTAGAGGGATGTGCCCACAAATGTACACAACAAGTGCCCCCTCAGACTCCTTGCCCACTATTAAGAAACATCTCTCCCAAGACAAAAAAAAAACTTTCCTCCAGGAAGGTCTTTTAATTAATTTACTTTCCCCACCCTACCAATTTTAACCAAACAAATCCATTTTTCCCAAACCAGGATTAAACTTCTGACCACTTGTAGTCTCATCTTTCTATTTATTTTTTCCTCCTATTTATTGTTGTTCACACGGCCCTCTGAAAATCCTGGGGGCAGAGCAGTGTTCTTGGATCCATCCCTGGTTGTTTGTATGGAGAGGAGTAGCTTGTTGTAACTATGATATGAGTTGTAGCTAAACTTATTTCTGTATAACTTTAGTTCTTCTAAGAAACGAAAAGTGATAAGAAACTCCTTGGGGAGAGAGAATGTACTAAGATGGTAGCTAGAAGCTGGAGGGTGACATTCCCCTTCCTGCCCTCGTTTGTGAGGCATCAGTAACCCCAAATGAGCTTCCTTGGAAGTACGTAGCTTTGAGGACTTGAACTCTTATTAAATGAAGCTACCATTGGAGTGTCAGTCTTTGGAAACTTCTTTCCTCCCACGTAACTGCTTTTTCATTATCGTAGTTGCGCACCGCACCTCAGGCTTGTGACTGTTGTCGGACACAAGAAGACGACAAAGCCCAGTTTTGACGCTGAATTGCAGAACTAAATTTGTGTGGCTGACTTGGGCATTGTGGGCCTCTGGATGTATGTGTAACAGGACAAAAAAATGGCACAATAGAAGTATCTTAGGCAATAGATTCTGGTTTTTTCCCGTGTCATCAGCATGACCTTTTATCCAGAACGTGATCTGCCTGCTTTCTGTTTATTCTTGCAAGCCCTAGGGAGGGCAGAGTGGGGCTCCACAGCTACATGCGTCTCCCTCAGGAAAAAAAGGGGGACAAGAATATGTCATTTCCCCACATCTGGAACCTCTAGCAGTGATGGGTTTGCAGCAAATTACTTGAATGAAGTTTACCTGGAAGTGGTCTGCCAGCAGCATTCACTTTTGATTGTGGGAGGTGGGCAGATAATACCCTGGGCAACACTGGCAGGCAGAATGGAGCAGCAGATAGCCCGGGGTGGGTGGGAACTGTGCCAACAGCATGGGGCCCAGCACAGTGGAGGGAGTGAGCACAATCTTGGAGTAGCAGTTGGAAGAAGAGGCAGAAGGAGGGGGGGGCAGAAGACTGAAGCAAGACATGCCTAGTACCGTCAGCAGAGTGTGCCGTTCTCTCTTACTTGAAAGAAAGCCCAACTACAGTAGGTCGAACTTAAGGAAAATAAGTTTTTCTACAGATCTAGGTTTCAGGTATGAGCAGTGTGGACAATGCCCCCTGCCTGAGATAACACTCTCACTAGGAATGCTAGTTGGTGGGCAAGACAGCAGTCCCATGGCCACCTTGGCCAGACCTCTCCAGGCAGACTCTTTCTCAACCGAGGAAGACACAGGATTGGTCTCTTTTGGCTTGCAAGGCTACTGCATGAACACCTCTACCTCTGCCATGACTTTTCCTTGGGCTGGAATGCAGGTCCTTGGCATGCTTGCCAAGATACTATCCCAGAAAGCTTGCCCTGTTGTTGGAGAGGCGAGGGAATTGGGCTCTAGAATACAGCTGCTAGTACTGCTGCTTGGAGTGCTATGAACATGGCTATTCTCCCCCCCCCCGGTTCTGTGTCACCCCCTCAGTGCTAGCCAGACCTTCTTCAGCAACTACTGCTGCATGTGATGGAAAATTGATTGGTGTTGCCGCCGCCCCCCATTGCTGCTGCTGCTGCTGCTGCTTAATTTCCATTGCCCACTGTGTGATTTGGGGGCCAAAGAGGGTTGCTAGAGCATACTCCTCCTCCTTCCAAAAGGAGCCAAACTGTAGTGGAGGAGGTCCTTTAGCTTGCTGGCCAGGCCAGAAAAAATGTCCCTCTATGGAACCCCCATCCACTTAGATATTTCCCTCCTTATGCCCTCCAGCCTGTCAACCAAGCCCTGGAACATTGGGCCCTCCTGGCTAAGGAGGACTGTCTCCCTGCTGAGGACCTGTCGTACTCTCAAAGCTTCAGAGGACACAGACCACTTGACCCATAACGCCCCACTTGACTCTGCCGAGAGGAGCAGCCACACCAAGGAAGGTCTCCGGTGTCCAATCATGGAGTGCCCTTTGCTGCTCCGGCACTCTTCCAAGCAGGCAGAAAGTGGGGTTCCATCCAGTTGCCACATCCTGGATTAGGTGCTGCTGCAGCAATCCCAATTATTGCCTCTGTTCCACCGGCTCACTGCCTTGGACACTGTGGTGAAAATGCCCTGCCACCTTTCTGGCCCATTCAATGATATATGAAGTATGCACGTGTATTCTCTACCCTGCAAAGTACCCTGAGGTTGAGAGTGTGGCCCATACACTGCACTCTTTTCATCTTCCCAGCCTGCCGTGCTGCCACCATGTTTGGCCCATTGTCTGACAAACAGACCTTGCTTTTCTGGAGCTAGACTCCACTGCTACAGCATGTCCCTCAGAGCCTCCTGAATGTTATAAGCTGTGTGGCCCACCTGTATCCTGCCCTTGTGTGTTGCTCGGTGCCCAGTGCATCTACCACCAGCCCTATCAGGGAGAGAGATGCATGTTTTGCACCCTGGCTGCTCCAGATGTCACCAGCCCTATCAGGGAGAGAGATACATGTTTTGCACCCTGGCTGCTCCAGATGTCATTTTTAAAATGTACCACCTGTTCCTGGCCAACTGCTGCTGTACCAGTTGCCTGGCACCCAAGCAATTAAGTTACACCACTTTATCAGCTGATATGTCATGAATGCCTCCAAGGGCAGAAGTGTCTGATTTTTTGGAATTGTCTTGTTCTTTGGCTTCCCAATGGAGCACCGTTCATCTGGA